TCCATCCATTCACATGTGTTCTTATGCAGAATGGTACCATGGCACACCATGCCATCCGGGGGTGTGTGGGTGGATTTCTTCCCCCACCATTCAGGGACTCTTCAGGGCAACTTCTGGGGGGAAAGGAGGCTGCCTCTCAGGGTGGGCCCCAGAGCCCAGGCACTCACCGATCAGTAGCCACTGGCTGTGTGGGAGGAAGATGGTGCCCGGCGGGTACTGGATGCCCGTGCTGGGTGTGATCTTGCACTCACCAGACCTTTGGAGCGTCACCCCACGTGTGATGGGACCGCTGCCCTGGGCCAGAGCCACCCCCTGGGGCTGCAGGAGGCAGAGACAGCCCAGTGAGCAGCAGGGCCCCCACCCATCTGCCCCTTCCTGCCCATCCTGTGCCTCCCCCAACCAAGGGAAAACTCACCACCAGGGCCATGCCTTCATGCACCAAGGATGTCAACGCGTAGAACCCCCCGGCATGCTTGCCCACATACAGGGTTGTGCTGAAACAAAAAGGGGGGGGGCAGGAAGGGTGAGGAAGCCCCTCCGTGGCACAGAGAGCTGCCTTGCAGAATCTGGGGGATTCAGAAGGCACCGAGCACCTGGCGATTGAGCTCTGGTTAGGCCAGGGGTCCCCAAACTTGGCAACTTTAAGACTTGAGGACTTCCACTGGCTGGAGAATTCGGAGAGTTGAAGTCCACAAGTCTTAAAGTTGCCAAGTTTGGGGACCCCTGGGCTGGGTGGTGACAGTCTAATGCAACAGTGTCGCACCCACCACCCAGGGTGGTCTTTCGGGAAAGCGGGAGGAATGAGGATTGGTGCACACTCCGTGCACAAAATAAAAGCGGGATATGAATTGATTCAACCCCCAAATCCGGGTTCACAGATGGCTCCACCGTGCACAGGCTTAAAGAGGCACAACTTGGTGGCTGGCAGCCACAATGGCTCCTCCTCACCTACCCCCATAACGGCCCTTGATGGAGGGGCTGGGCTGCAGGGGCTACCACTGGGGGTGTGTGTGTGCAGGGGGGAGACCTCTGTCAGGGGCAGGGAACCCCCATGCAGCCTCTTCTGCGAACCGAAGAAGCAGAAGATCGAAGCTCCTGCCCAGAGACGGGATATGGCAGCTAATGTGCAGCCAGGATTTATTTCCTAGAAGCTCCCGAAATGGCAGGTGTCCCTTGGGGAAGCAGACTAGGGTTAACTCGGAGGCAGCACCTGCCCCCCCCCCCCCCCCGTTCTACACACACACACCCCGTTGCTTTTCTGGAAACCAGGCAGCCAATGGCTGGCCCTCTTGCACCCAGAGCCCTGACCTTGGAACTCTGTAGCCCACCAACCCCTGTCCTTACTCGTTCCCGCGAATTCTCTTTGACTTCCCAGGGAGATTTTCAAAGGAACTCATCTCCACCACCACCACAAATAAAAACCCCTAAATACATCAACCATAAAATGAAACATTCTTAAAAATACAAAAGACAAAGCAAAGTTTGTTTTGAAGAAAGAAAAGCAGTCTGAAAGTCTCCTGGGTCATGAAGCATTCTTATGTGCATGTGCGCGCGCACACACACATACACACATGTATGCATGCACAAATGTATGGTTCATGTTCTGCCTTTCTAGTCTGGCGGGTCCTCAGGGCAGCTAACGATCATTTAAAACAACATTCATTAAAACCAATGCTGAATTGGAATCGAAAGATGAACTAACGTTCTGTCCCAGCAGAAATCACCCCGGATGCTCAGCCCCGACTGCAATCAAGGCAGGCAGCCCAGGGCGCCTCTGCACAAGTGACCCTTTGCCCTGGCAGGAAGCACCTCGGAAGGCTCAGTTGGGTTCATGCATCTTCATGTAACTTGACTCCATTTCACCATGTCCTGCTCTCTTCTGGGTGACCTGATAAGGCACTTAAGGTGCTCTGATCGCACCAAGTTGCAAGTCTCCCCCCTCGCCTGTTTCCCAATGTTCCCAACCTACACAAAAAGCCTCACCTGGTTGAGGAGCCCTATCGATACAATCCGCTTTCTCCAGTGCAGGGACCACATTGTGGAAGGAACTGAAGCTGCCTTTAATCTCCTCATGACCCTTTAAGGTCTATGCCAGCTCTTAAGGGACAGGGTAGCCAACAAAATCCCTAAGCTCAACTGCTTTCTGGATCTCTGTTTCCCCCACTTACGCTCCCCACAAAGGCATCTACGCCGCCCCTGATTTGGGGGCAGAACTGCTTTTCCAGAAGTCACTCACGGGGCCCAGAGGTGCCCCCCAAGCTCTTGGCACTTACAGCAAAGGGGTCTTGGCCGCAAAGTCCTTGCCAGTCCGAAAGGTCCAGTTGAGGAGGGGGATCTTCTGAGCATGCAGGATGAGGTAGCGCAGGCTCTCCATGGCTACGCTGAGGTGGGGTGCCCGACGCAGGCTGTCCTGGTGCCAGCTGTAGACGCCCACCACGGGGGATCCATAGTCCTGCACCCAGAGCACCTCTCCACTCTCCTTGCCCACCGTCACCAGCCAACCATCTCCGCTTGAGGCAAAATGGGCCAAGTCTGTGCCCGGGGGAGGAGGGGGGGAGGGAAAGACAGGCGCTGGGCATGGCAGCAGAGGCTTTGCTCTCCTTGAGCGGAGTGCCAGCCAAGTGCTAATCACAGGGTCAGCTGCACCGTCTCTGTCTTTGATGGGATCTATCAAGCTCAGCAGCCTAGGCCAGGGGTTTCCAACCGTGGCAATGTTAAGGCTGGCTGTTGTGGTTGGCCAGCAGCAGGTGCGGACGGCTGAGGTCTCGGAGAACGAGGACTCAGGTGAGGGCCTGCGTGTGGTGCAGGGATGGGGCCAGGACCATCAGGGAGTGGAAGGCTGCCTTCAGAGATGGTGGAGGCTGGCAGCAGTGAGGAAGAGGATCCCGAGGAGCCTGTGCCCAGTGCGCGAAGGAAAGAGCAGCTGCAGCAGCACGGGCAACTCAGGAGTAAGGCTGCAAGGTCATGGCCCCTCCCTTAAGAGATAAAAGCCAGCTGAGAAACCGGAGTTCTTTGCAGGAAGCAAGGAAGCTTTTGCACTCAAGCCTTGTAGATGTTCGGACTCTCTTAGTTTGTGTTTGGAGACTCTTTGTGTTGGAACTAGTTCTTGGCAACTTTATCTGTTGTTCTTGGCAGCCTTGCACCACCTTGGCAAGGCTCGTTCTTATCAGAGACGGTTAGTTTGAAACAGCCTTTTAACCGGAAAGGAATGGAATTCGTCAAGAATCATTAAAAGGTTTTGCTGTTACCTCCGTTTGGTGTTTGTTTCCTTGGAACAAGGTCTGGGTCAGAACACGGGCGGATGTCAACTCCCAGAATTCTGGGAGTTGACATCCTCCAGCCTTAATGTTGCCAACGTTGGGGGCCCCTGGCCTAGACTGACTCTAGGGCTGAGCGGAAGCTGGGATATCGGTTTCCAGATGTGAAAAGATCACACACGTTTAAAAATAAGCTTACATCACACGGACTGGCTGACGAAACCCACAGCTTTTGCAGGGCGAGCCTAACCTTTAACAAAAGATGTGCAGCCCCCAAATTGGCACGAGGGGAGTGGGTGAGAAAGCTCCGGCTGCCCTCCTTCCTTCCCAGACTTCAGCTACTTGCCACATTCCCTTGAGGAGGGAAAGAAGCGGGCATAGAGAGCGGAATCCCGGCTGCCAGCTTGCTCTGCCCAGTTACTCACTATAGTCCAAGTCCCGCTCACGGACAGGAGCGGAGTAGTCCAGGTAGGTGGCATTCCACTGCAGCTCCCGGGTCTTGGTGTCGTACATGGTGATGACATACTCTGCAGAGGAGAGCAAGGTTGATTTACCCTCCCTCTCCCTCTCCCTCTCCCTCCCTCTCTTTCTTTCTTCTTCTACCGCCTGGGATTGGCCTAAACCAGTGGTGGGATTTAAAAAAAAATTACTACCAGTTCTGCGGGCGTGGCTTGGTGGGCGTGGCAGGGGAAGGATATACTGCAGAATCCCCCTCCCCTCCCCACCCGACTAACCTGCTTTCCAGCTCCGTTCTCCTGTGCAGGGCAACCAAAGGAGACCCAGCCGATCAGCTGGGACTCAATGGGAGGCAGAGAAGAGATGGGGACAAGGCCAGTCAGAGGTGGGATTGGCCGGTTCTCTGAACTACTCAAAATTTCCGCTAATACCGGTTCTGCAGAACTGGCCAGGACTGGCTGAATCCCCCCTCTGAGCGAAATATTCTCAGGCATGGAGGCTCAAGGGATGCTTACTGCTGCGTCCGATGAACAGCAGGGGGCTTGTGGGGTGCAGCCCCTCCCAGGCCTGTGGCGACAGCACGCTGTGCTTCTCTCCTGAGGCCGGATCCACCAGAAACCAGGAGTCCTCCTTTTTCCCTGGAGAATGGGGAAGGAAACCCGTGGGTTCCGGGGCGCCGCATCATCCCCCCCAGTGGAAATGGGCTCCAGCCTTTCCCTCTCCCACTCCACCCCCCTCCCCTCGGCACCTGTGTAGATCACGCCATCTGAGCTGCGGCACGGAGAAGACTGCACCAGCTCTGGGATGGTGAAAGGCAGCTTCTACCAGAAACATAAGAGAGAGAGAGAGATCCACACACACACTTGGCTAAGGATCACCCTTCACAAACCAGACTGGAATCGTCAAGGCAACATCTGCAAGAGCTGATCCCATGTTGCATTTTGGCGCAAGATGCTTGGAACACGTATGACCTCTTGTGCCAACAGCTATCGGTGTAGTAGCCACACCAATGCCCCTCGGACTAGGCAGCCCATCCTCAGCCTTCAGGATTCCAGGCCTTCAGGATGCCTCTTCTAAGCAAGAGCCTCTATTCGGACAATGCAGTACAAGCAGGGAGCCAATGATTCCCTTTTGCCTTTAGCATCGTCTCTAGAATGAAGCTCCCAACAATCAAGAAGTAACCAGGAAACTCTCTCGACTGTCTTTAATGGCTCAGGATCAACCCCTCCGGGGATATTCTAGATCCCTCGAGACTACGGGATTCTGTGCCCAAACCTGGAGGCCCTCCATTGGCCCAGTGGGCAGCTTCTCATTCCCTTCTTCTGTAAGTGAAGAATAATGGCAGGAATTGGGTGTGTCTGGTCCAGAGGTCTCCAACTTGGCCCCTTTAAGACTTGTGGACTTCAACTCCCAGAATTCTCCAGGCAGCATAGCTTATCCAAGCCACAAGTCTTAAAGTGGCCAAGTTTGGGGACCCCGGCTCTAGTCTACTGAAGAAAAGGACTCGATGTGACATGACAGCAGTCTTCCAATTCCTGAGGGGCTGTCACAGAGAAGCACCTGAAGACAGGACAAGAAGCCCCCATGGCAGGAGGGAAGCAGCAGGGACACCAGTCAACCAGTAGAACCCCTTACCTTCAGAGGTTGTGGGGGCTCCATCACTGGAGGCTTTCAAGAAGAGACGGGGCAGCCACTTGTCCGTCTACTGCTCAGTTGGTTGGCTTAGAAGACCTCCAAAGTCCCCCGTCCCCCCAACTCTATTATTCCTGGCTGGACATGGCCTCCAAGACCCAGCCGGCTTAATCCTGGGCCTGTGCTTCACTCCGGAGAGCGTCCTCAGCCAGCAGAATGGCAGAAATGGTGTAGGATCTCCTGCTTGGGCAGGGGGTTGGACTAGATGACCTACAAGGTCCCTTCTAACTCTGTCAGTCTGTTTAAGGGCTGGCAGCCCCAGGTGGAGCTCCTCCAGTGAGTCTCTGGTCACTTCCCCTCACTCCTTTAGGGCCATCCTAGCCTCTTACGGGGTCAGCTTCCCCATCAGTTGTACAACCCAGGACTTGGAGCCCTTCCAGCTTTCTCCCCCTGCCCATCAGGGGAGGGGTCTGCAGGATGGCTCCTCCCCCTTTAGCCCCCACCCCCGGAGTGCAACTTAGCAGGGCCCACCTTGACTCAGGTGAGGCCCGCCCCCTTTCGTGGCTACTTACCATCAGCCCCCCCTGGTCCTTGCCCCCCACCACGTACAGGCTGCCGTCGCTGGGGTCGGGGAGAAAGGCGGGCCTGGACGGAGAAGACGAGAAGGCCGCTGGCCCCGGACAGCTCCTCCGGCCCGAGGCCAGCCACGCCGCCGGGGCAGCCCCCCTTCCTCTCAGCCCCCCCCCCCGCCCCCTCCTCGGCTGCTTTATGGGGAGGGGGGCGCGCAGGCGGCGCTGTGGGCTGACCAAGCGCGGCGGGCGCCACTCACTCCGGCTCTCGGCGGGGCACCTGCAGGGGCGGATCTGAAAGCAGAGCAGCGCCGTCAGAAGCGGGAAGAGGCGCTCTCGGGGGGCGGCCGGGAGTCAGGGGAGCAGCCCCGCCGCCCCCCCCCCCCGCCGCTCACCCTCCTCCAGCGTCCAGCGGGCGTCCCCCGTGGCCGGGCTCACTGCGCGGAGGCGCCCGTCCAGCGTGGCCACCAAGAGCGGCGGCGGCGGCGGCGGCGGCGGCGGCGGCTCCGATTCTGCCGCTGCGGGGCCGCCGGTCCGAGTCTGCGGGGAAGGCAGAGGCAGCGGGTGGGCCCGGAGCCAGGCTCTCGGCCGCGCCGTCCGAGCGGGGGACCCGGCCTTTCCGGGACCGGCCTGGCAGCGCTGCGACCGGACAATCCGGCGGCCGGGAAAGCGGAGCCACTTCGCCGGACGCCCGTCGGGGTTAGCCCAGGCCAAAGAGCGCGGGCTTCGGAGACTCCAAGGCGGCGCCCTCCGTCGAAAGCGAGACGCAGCCCCGGCGACCCAAGGAGGGCTGGCCGGAGCTGGCAGCGGCTCTCCGGCTCCACCCGCCGCCTGGAGCTCCGGCCTCTCCATCTCCCATCCGCCGCGCTCTTTCGGAAGCTGCGCCCGGGAGACCCAGCCCCCCCCCCCCCGCGAGTCTGCCCCCCTCCCCCCGCCCCCGGGGACCCTCCTCGCCCTCCCTCCCGTGGGAGCAGACCTCGGAAGCTCTGGCCGCGGGGCGGACCGCTGGAGCAGCCTCCCGTCGGGGAAGGGGGGGGGGTCGCCGGGTCCCGGCTTTACCTCCACCAGCAGCAGCAGCAGGAGGAGGAGCGGGAAGCGGCGCCGGGTCGGGGGCTGCTCCTCGGTCTCCCCCATGGCAGCCCTGCCACGCCACGCTTCCTGGCCTGCGCGCCACCCCTGCCTGCTGCCCGCGGGGAGGAACCGGACCCTCCCGGCCGGCCTCCGCCCCAGATCCGGCTCCCGGACGGCACCGGCTTCAACTTCCTCGCCCCACCTCGCCCAGCGGAGGAGCGCTCCGGACATGCTCAGAGGCACACCTGGATCTGGCATACCTGCGCCCCCCCCCCCCCCCGCCCCCCGCTCGCCAGAGGCTCTGAGCAGCAAGAAGGCGACGGAGCACAAACTCCCCGGTGGCTGAAGAAACAGTTGGCACTGGAGCTCTAAACACGGGGGGGGCAACTATATGCCGGCGGGTTCCCACGACGGTTAATGCGGAGCGGAGCAGCGAGGCAGGCCCGGGCGACGGCGGCGAGCCTTCCCGTAGGACGCGTTCGCAGAACCCGTTTAGTGTCCCCGTTGCGTCGCTTTGGTCGGGGTCCTAGAGTCAGGGGTCTCCAACCTTCGGCCCGGAGGACTTCAACTCCCAGAATTCCCTAGGCCTATTCAAGTGGCCAAGGTTGGAGATGCCTGTCCTGGAGCCCCCGACCTCCAACACTCCAAACCTCTGGAAATCCCCAGTCACCCCGGGCAGGATTGTACCCCCAAAAGGCAACTGGACTTTGTTTTTTATTTATTTTTTCTTTCTTCGAAAACGTTTCGCTTCTTATCCAAGAAGCTTCTTCCGTTCTAGTCCTCTGAAGTTGCTCAGGGTCGTGGGAACCTCCGGCACGCGGGGCCTTTTCTGGAAGCGGCCGCCAGAACTCGCGCCAGCCTCCCCACCTCCCCGGGGACGCCGCGGACTCGCCTCCGCCCCCGGCAGGAAGGGAAACCCGCCGGACCGGTTTCTCTCCGCTGCGGGCGGGATCCGGGATCTCACGCGGGGGCTCAGGGAGAGGCGCGGGGGGGTGGGGGGCAGAGATTGTGCGGGGGTCTCGTCCCCCCCCCTCCCCACCGTTTCTCCCCAGCTTCCAAGGACGCCCCTTCCAGCCCTTACTGGAGAGAGAGCAGGGCCGCCGGCTCGGCTCCCGACAGCCCGGATAGATCGCCAGGGGGGCGCCCTTCCAAACCCCGTGAAGAAACTGAAGGGCGGGGGTGACACTATCCCTTCTGCAGGGAAAGCAAAGGCAGCTGTGCAGGAATCGGAGCACACACACACACACACACACACCCCGACACACAAAGAGGCTCTTGGACACCAACGCCCCTCCAGGGACGCAAGAAAACCCACCCACCCACCCACCCTTGGCCAAAAAATGCTCAAATAGGACACAATAAGCTCACACGCTTCACACCAGGGGTCTCCAACCTTGGCCACTTTAAGCCTGGGGGACTTTAACTCCCAGAATTCCCCAGCCAGCTGCCAAGGTTGGAGACCCCTGCTTCACACCAATATCCTTTGGGGGTTTTTTTTGGTGGGGGGGGGGAGGAGAAGGTGCCCCCGATTCAGTGCTGATTCCTGGAGCCTGCCTAACTACCTGTCCCTGCCGTTTTCTTGGCAAGGTTTCCCGGAAGTGTTTGCTCAAGGCAGGACTAGAACCCACCACATCCTGGATTCTAGCTTTATGCCACTTACAACAGTCTGCAAACATAATTAAAAGTCGTCAGTAATGGGCTGTTTTTGCTTATTCTGTCTGCTCGTTCTTTGATAGGTGTGTGATGTGCTGGTTTCGGGACCCACTTCTTCTTGAAGGGCAGGCGACAGAATTTCTTCCTGGCAGCATTTCACCCCACAAGGTGAACAAAATATGCAAGACGGTTTGCATAAAGGCAAAAGGTGAGCTGGGCTCAGTTTACAGATGACGGATTAACAGAGTTGGGAGGGATCTGGCAGGTCATCTAGCCCAACCCTCCACCCAAGCAGGAGACGCTACACCCTTTCGGACAATGGCAGTCCAATCTCAGTTAACCTGAGACAACACAAAGATACCAAATGAGGGGACATCGCTCGTTTTTGTATCATACCAGACTCATGGATTGCAAGGCTCCTTCCTTGGACTGGTCAAAATTTAAGAGATCAGCCAGAAAATATGCATATTGCTTTGACAGACCAAAGCAAATAAGTCCTGTATTTAGATAACAAAAATAAAAGACAAAGGATGTGGGAAAGATCCGGTGCCTGAAGCTAAATAGGAGCCACCAGTGTGTTGATGCACCTGCAAAACAAGCAGATTCGGTCCTGGGCTGCATCAGCCGAAGTTTATCAAGATCAAAAAAGTCATCACACCTGGGCATGACTTACCAAGAGGGCAGCATACCTTCCTGTGGGATAAAGAAAGTATGTATACTTCCATAGACATAAAATAAGAGATGTGCTGATACAAACATGGAGACAAATAGAGAATAAATATTATCGCAAAATTCCAAACTGGGTATCTCCCTTAGAAGCAGTAATCCACCCTAATATAACGGAGGTTAAGAAAACAGCCAGGTATAGGGAAATTTTAGATAAACAAGGGAATTTAAAGAGCAGACAAAAATAGGAAGAACAGGGAATAAAATTGGACTGGTGGACCTACATGCAAACCACACAAGCAAGATATAAAAATCTGGAATAGACAACATTACAACAACTAGATAAAATTTTGATTGGCCCAGATGAGAAATTATTATCAAAGATATGTAAACATTTATTAGAATTTGATAGAGCAGAGGAGATTATAAAAGGATCAATGATTGCATGGGGTAGAAATTTTGGACATCTATTGATTTGGGAGAGTGGGAAAAGATTTGGAATACGAATTATAAAGTAACAAAATCGGCAGCTTACAAGGAAAATCAACATAAAATGTTCTATCATTGGTATATGGCACCTTCGAGATTGGCTAAAATCTATCCAAATTTAAAACCAAATTGCTGGAAACGTGGACAACAAGGTACCTTCTTTCATTCTTGGTGGTCGTGCCCCGAAGCGAAAAAATATTGGAAAGTGATTCAAATGTGGTTAGAAGAGTTAATTGAAAACAAAATTGATTTTGTCCCGGAATTATTCCTCTTAGGAATAATAAAAAG